ACAAATAAAAATAACTAATATTTGGCTATTTATTAAACATCAACTATGTTTGAGCATTGCTCTCAGAACTTTATGCATATTCTTTTTAAGCCTCTCAATAATCCTGTAAGTCACATATACATATTGTCGTCATTATTATGTGAATAAAGGAACTGAGGCACTGAGTTGAGAAGTCAAGGGATACAGTTTACACACTGTAGAGTGGGTGCTGGAACACAGGTCGGCCAGCTCTGGGGCACAGGTCGGCTCATTACTGCCTTAGCATGGCCCTAAACCACCTTTGCTAAGTTCTCCCACTTGGTATTCTTTATATGTATCTTCAGAGATTCATCCCTGCAACAGACTAACTACCCACAAAACTGCTCAGAGAATCCCTACGTTCTCAACTTAAGTAGATGGTAAATTAACAGAATAACATCTGAGTTTGGTTCAGTGAATCATGGGACCAGACTGAAGGAGAGGCAGGATCAAGTGATTTTACTGGTTTTGTTTGCGGACACATTCTCATAGTGTATAATCCAGGCTAGCCACAGAAGTAGCAAGAGGCCAACGAATAAAGGACAGACCTACGTAGTAGAGTTGCCCTACTGCTGCTTGTATTCTAACGTTAATTATATTCCCTCCCCGCCCCCCCAAAACAAAACAAACAACAACAACAACAAAAAAACTGGCTACACAGGGGTCTGCACTTATCGTCTGGGAACCTGCCCCCAGTTCGTTCTGATTGGTAAATAAAGATGCCGGCAGCCAATGGCTGGGCAGGGCAGACAGAGGCAGGACTTTAGGATTCCCGGGCTTCGGATCCGGAAGAGAGAAAAGGGGAGATCTGCCACAGCAGGAGAGTGTGGAAGAGAGGAGAGACATCAGGCCTGAGAGTGTGCAGGAAACAGGCTTGGCCGCCTTGTAAAGGAGCCGGGAGATACCTTTAGGTCCAGAGCAGCCAAGAGAGAGTGTTTAGCTGGGCGGTGGTGGCGCACGCCTTTAATCCCAGCACTTGGGAGGCAGAGGCAGGCGGATTTCTGAGTTCTAGACTGGCCTGGTCCATAGAGTGAGTTCCAAGACAGCCCGGGCTATACAGAGAAACCCTGTCTCGAAAAACCAAAAAAAAGAGAGAGAGTTTAGTAAGTAATAAATCGGGATTATTGACAGGAGGTGTATTAACCTCATGGAGGTGAGGCAGTGGCCCAGCAATGGAGCTGATTAAGGCATGTCAAAATATAAAGGCTGTGTGTTTCATTCAGGAACATAAAGCATTAAGGGGGGTAGCGAACCCACTGCCAGGATTTATATAATATTTAATTCAACAGATTTAAGTCTGTACGAAATGAAATTTATTGAGAGGTAGGGAAGATTTGCTGACAGAATCAGATTCTGAGTAGTAGCTAAGATAAGCTGATCACTGTGAGGAAGGAAGGGTGTGTATTTTGATTAGGACAAAGTGTTTTTATCCAAGATCAAAGGGACTTGGTTTACCTTAAACCAAAGGAAGAGTTAAGCACATACCTGGTGCAGGTCATTACAACTCCACAGACTTTTGAATAGGCATTGAAGTGTGTGTGGGCTTGTGTGTGTGCACATAACTGTTTATAGTTTACTAAGAAAGCAGACTTGGTTACGTTAGAGCAATTCTGTGATTGACTTGCTTTGCTTGGCTTCCCATGGTGTGACCATAGCATCCAAATAAACCAACTTCTTTTTTTTTTTTTTTTGGTTTTTCGAGACAGGGTTTCTTTATGTAGTCCTGGAACTCACTCTGTAGACCAGGCTGGCCTCGAACTCAGAAATCCGCCTGCCTCTGCCTCCCAAGTGCTGGGATTAAAGGCATGCGCCACCACTGCCCGGCTATAAACCAACTTCTAAGGAAAGTTTTACTTATTTATTTATTTATTTACTTACTTACTTACTTACTTGGCTACTTAGGTGGGGTTTTTTTTTGTTTTGTTTTGTTTGTTTGTTTGTTTCGAGACAGGGTTTCTCTATATATCCCTGGCTGTCCTGGAACTCACTCTGTAGACCAGGCTGGCCTCAAACTCAGAAATTAAAGGCATGTGCCACCACTGCCCGGCTTTTTTTTTTTTTTTTTTTTTTGACAAGGTTTCTCTGTGTAGCCTTGGCTGTCCTAGAACTCATTCTGTAGACCAGGCTGACCTCATATTCACAAAGATCCACCTGCTTCTGCCTCTTGAGTGCTGGGATTAAAGGTGTGCACCACCATGCCTGGCAAGGGAAGCTTTATTTTAACTCACTGGCTATGCTTGCTTGCCCTGGTGCTCTAGGGCTGTGGCAGAGCAGGGGGTGCATGACAAAGGGAATCTGCTCACCTCACGTTGGATAGGAACCAAAAGAGAAAATGGTGGAGGTTCCACTCTTCCCTTCAAAGGCTGTCAGTGCCCTAACTTCTATTAGGTCCCACTTTCTTTCTTTTTTTTTTTTAAGATTTATTTATTTATTTAATGTATATGAGTACACCGTAGCTGTCAGGGCATCAGATCCCATTACAGATGGTTGTGAGCCACCATGTGGTTGCTGGGAATTGAACTCAGGACCTCTGGAAGAGCAGTCCGTGCTCTTAACCGCTGAGCCATCTCTCCAGCCCAGGTCCCACTTTCTAAAGGTTTCTCTCACCAACTAATCTTGACTAAGCCGTCAATAGATGCCATTCAGGGGACATTTAAGAACCAAACCTGTAGGATACGGCAGCACAGGTATGGAATCCCGTATTCTGAAGGCTAAAGTGGGGGATCAGTGCCATCCTGAGCTCCTGGTAAGATTCAAATACACAAAACAAATATGATCTGAACCATTACACGGCTTTAAATCACCATAGTTATATCAAGCAGAGTCAAGCAGACAGAGCAGGATCTGGGTTCTCCTGTGAAGACTCAACAGGAGAAGTCTGCTCCCACTTCCATTTGTTCTCCAGCTAACCGGAAACAGCCATGCTGCTTATCACGTTAGCCATTCACGAGAACCTAATCACTAAGCTGGGTGTGGTGGCGTGTGTCCAGAACCCAGCACTTGTGAGAGAGAAGCAAAAAGATCCAGAGGTCAAGCCCAACCTCACAGAAAGTTTGAGGCCAGCTGGGCTGAGTGCACACACACAAGCCCACACAGACTTCCATCACCAAATGCCTATTCAAAAGGCAATATGGCTATATAAAGGCATGGATAGCAAGAGCTGGGAATCACTGAAGTCTACTTACACTCACTAAAAAACTAAGTTTCCTCAACTTGTCTTCCTTTAGTTGGACCTTTTTTTCTTTTTTTCTTTTTTTTTTTTTTGGTTTTTTGAGACAGGGTTTCTCTGTATAGTCCTGGCTGTCCTGGAACTCACTCTGTAGACCAGGCTGGCCTCGAACTCAGAAATCCGCCTGCCTCTGCCTCCCAAGTGCTGGGATTAAAGGCGTGCGCCACCACCGCCGCCCGGCCTTAGTTGGACCTTAATAACTAATTGTTTTTTGTTTGGTTTGGTTTTTTGGGGGTAGGGGGGACAAACTCTCACTATGTCCGTGGGCTGGCCTGATATTCTCTATACATAAACCAAGGTGGCCTCAAACTCACAGAGATCCTCCTGTCTCTGCCTCCCTAGTGCTGGGATTAAAGGCACACACAACCATACCCAGCTTTGGGGGGTTTTGTAGTTGTGGTTCGTTTGTTTTTGAGACAGGGTCTCCCTCTGCATCTAAACCTGATCTCAAACTCATGGCAATCCTCCTGCCTCACACGCCCACATCCTAAGATTACAGGCATGAGCTACCAAACCTGGCCTGACTTTTATAAATCTTGCAGAAACATATGCCCATGTGAATCCACTATTAGGGTCCTCCAGTGCAAGTCAGGAGGCCTGAAGCTTAAGCTGTGGGAAGCCATGTGGGTCCTGGGGGTTGAACTAAGGTTGTCAAGCTTGGTAGCAAGCATCTTTACCTGCTGAGTCATTTTGCCAGCCCTGAGTTTGTTTCTCATGTTAAAGAGGGAAAGGGTTCTTTCTGATATGGCTGTTCATGCCTATAACCTCAGCAGTTGGGAGTTTGAGACAAGAGGACTGAAAGAGTCTGAGGCCACCGGGCGGTGGTGGCACACGCCTTTAATCCCAGCACTTGGGAGGCAGAGGCAGGTGGACTTCTGAGTTCGAGGCCAGCCTGGTCTACAGAGTGAGTTCCAGGACAGCCAGGGCTATACAGAGAAACCTTGTCTCCAAAACAAAACAAAACAAAAAAAAGAGTCTGAGGCCAATCTGGGCTGTGAAGTAAGACTATGTCTCAAAAACAATGTTTTTAGAGACAAGGGAGAGCTTGGTGGAGAGGAATGCCCATTGAGAAGCAGATGGCAGATACATCAGGTCTGTCTCCACCGCTTCTACCTACAACTCCTGGGCCCACAGTCCCCTTGTCCCCTACAGCTTCTTCTTTCTTGTCACCTGGGTCAGATGTCATCTCCTCCAGGGTCTCCCTGTCTCCCTCATCCCACACCATTCTGTCATAGCCTTTGTAACACTTTGTCCTAACTTCATCCTACCTACTAATGTGTTGATTTCAGAATCTACTCAAACCACCTTAGGTGCCCTAAGGTGAAGGGTGCTTCTTACACTGTCTTTTCATCTCTCAGAGCTGTGCCTGGCACATAAGAGGCAGTCAATGAGCAGGCACAGAACGGAATCAGACACTTGACTGGTCAGTAAAAGGCCTTTGTTTTTGACTCTCTGTTCCTTTGACCTTGTACTGTACCCTCTAACCAAGTTCCAACCACGGCGACCCCACCCTGCCCTCTTCCCTAGCCTCCAACAACCCCAGCTACAGCTGCTATAGTCCACTGCAAGCATGGCTCCCCTAAGAGGCTGTGTAGGAGCCAACACACAGCAGGCAGGCCTCGTACCTGCTCTGTAAGCTCTGGTTCCAGTGGAGCCGACGCCTGATCTTGGCATTGGTGCATCCAGCACTCTGCCCCCACATAAAGCTGTGTGTGTGTAGACCACTGCTCTTCCCGGCTTTGAGGAGCCTCGGTATGATGCCACTGACATTTATTGAGGGTTTCCCATGTGGCTGGCACTTTGTTGGATGAAAGCTGTGGACACGCAAAGTGCCCTTCTGCCTTCAAGTCCCCAGAGTCATCCCCCTCCCATAGTCATCTAGGCACTCTCCACCTGCGCAGGTTGTCATACATGAAGGAACAGTGTTGCACAGTCATGAAGATTTAGAAAGCCTTTGCCCAGGTCTGGACCCCAACCCAGGAATTGTCTGTTCTACTGTCTTTGCCTTCACCTCTCCAGCATCACACGGGACAGATTCTCAAGCAGAAACCGTGGCTGAGTCTGAGCACCACCACCAGCTCTCTACTCCCTCCCGAGTCCGGCCTTCTGCTTCTGAGAGGATCAGGAGAGAAGAAGCTGAGGATGGTTGTTGGCTGGCCCAGGACCCAACTTGTTCTGCAGCCTGAGGCTGAGCTGGCTGACACCATGATGACAATTCAAGTTGGGAGAAGATGCAGAACAGACATGGATCAAACAGGTCAATTGCCTGGGACAGGAAGAGGTCCACAGACTGCAGAGGATCTCGAATCCCAGCTGCTTAGTCCTCAGTGTCCTCCTTGGCAGGCCACCAAGTGCTTCATAATACCACCCTTCAACTGTCATAGAACCCAGAGAGACCCAAGAGACCCAGAATCCATGGCTTGCATTCACAGTCCCAGTCTTTGGGCAAGCTATGCTCAGTATTCCCTTTTAGAACTCAAGGCATATGGCTTCTAGGGAAATAAGAGGATAAATGTGAAATAAAAAAAGGAAAGGAAGTATTCAGTCTCTGATAGGAGAGGTATGCGCTCTCTCTCTCTCTCTCTCTCTCTCTCTCTCTCACACACACACACACACACACACACACACACACACATTCGGCAAAGTTGCCTTCCTAGATACATATATACATGGACACACATGCACTCATGTTCTCTGAGATGCACTCTGGATTCTTCTAGAAGAAAGGAAGTTGTTTAAAAGGGCAGAGAAAGTAGCCCCAAAACAGAAGTATTAGATTAATTTAATACTTCCTATACTCAAAAAGCAGGACCAGTGGCTTCTGTAAAACCAACAAGAGTGACTACTGGTCTCTTGGTCCCAAATCACCATCGTCTTTGGCTGGATGAGTCCCATCCCATCCTGTTGTCTACAAGACCACTCCAGTGATGCCATTTCTCAGTGCAATGCCCCTGCTTCATCTTCCTTGATAGTGGACATACTGTGATACTCACTGGCCAGAGCCTCAGCCTTGGCCACTCTGTACTTAGCCTCTGCCTCCACTGGCAACATTCGAGCCATCCCCAGTCTTTCTTCTTGTGGGCTCAGATGGTCTTGTTTCATTAGCTGCTCTATCCCTATTGGTTGCCTCTAGAGGTAGTGTTTCCACTGACAGCAAGTAGATGGATGGATAGACAGATGGATGGTTGGATGGACGGATGGATGGGCAGACTTTGTCTTCCCCATGCTGCTCCCAGTATCCCAAACAGTGTTCTTCCCTAGCCTGCCCTAAGGTTGAGGGGTGTCAGGAGTGCCTGAAGAGGGTCCTACAGCCTCAAGGAGCTTCTGATGCTGGCGAAGATGCTTCCTCCTTTCATGTTCTCCTGTAACTTCACACACCAGTTGGGCAGGAAAGGCTCCAGGAAGCCCCTTAAGCCAACCTGAGGAGGGGAAAAAAGGCTTGTGTGGAACAGGACAGAGGTCAGGTGATGGGGCTGAGGGAGGGGAAGCCTCCGGTCTCAGATCATGGTGGTTGGGGATTAGTGGAGAAGACCAGAGCATTCTTCAGTCACTAGTGCTCCTGGAAAGGAGATCAGCATCTGAGAGAGTCTGTGTCAATTCTGTGCTGGGTCCTACAGTGACTGTTCATGTCACTCAATAGGAAGAACTTCTGAGCTTGAGAGCTGGCTCAGCAGTTAAGAGAAATTGGTGCTCTTCCAGAGGACCCAGGTTTGATTCCCATCACCCACATGGTGACCCACAACCATCTGAAACTCCAGTCCCAAAGGATCCAGGGCCCTCTTGTGACCTCAGCAGGCACCAGGCACACACATGTGCACAGACATACATACAGGCGAAACACTCATAAAATAATAAAATACATAAATCTAAAAAAAAAAAAAAAACAAAGTCAAATCAATCCGAAAAGAGTCCATGCAAAAGGCTGCAAGATCTCTGTCATCTCTGTGACCTTGTTTGCGTCCACAGTTCCCTTCTCTGGATCAGTCTGGGCACACTGGCCTCCTGGCAGTTCTTACTGCACAGCAGGAACTAGACCTTTGCCCTGCTTATGCTGTCCAGCTGGTCCACTCTTCCTCCAGACACTGAATACCTAGGTTGAGCACCTCTGTCAAACCCACTCTGCCTCCTAGCAGGCCTATCTCACCTGACTAAGTAAGAGCCCACTGAACCCTAGAATCCCCACCTTCCTTCCTCTTACCCAGCCTTTCTCCCACTGTATCCATGCCCTTCTAACATACTACATGTAACTACATGTGACTTATTTATTTATCTATCCCATTTATACTTCTTTTGCTCTTTTGCTTGAGACGGTGTCTTGCTATCTAGTTCTGGCTGTTTCAGAATTCACAATGTAACCCAACCAAACATTCATTCTCTTGCCTCAACCTCCACAGTACTGAAACTACAGAGCTACAGATATCGGCCATTATTGGCTTTTTTTCTTTCTTTTCTTTTCTTTTCTTTTCTTTTCTTTTCTTTTAGAGAAAGAGTCTTGGCTGGGTGGTGGTGGCACACGCCTTTAATCCTAGCACTTGGGAGACAGAGGCAGGCGGATTTCTGAGTTCGAGGCCAGCCTGGTCTACAGAGTGAGTTCCAGG